AGCTCATCTCCAAGACCGCCTTCAGCGGGTGGAGCAGCGACCAGTCGCCGCCGCCGATGCAGGCTCTTCCAACACTGCCGACTGCCTCACCGCATTGGAGATGCGCGTCGGCTCCCTCCAGGACGGCGCACAGTTACAGCAGACCGCGACGCAACAATTGCAGCAGCGGATCTGCACTACCGCCACTACCTCGAGTCCGGAGCCACGCGAGACAACTCCAAAGTTCGATGGGCAGGAGATCTTCTGCGACTCAATGAAGACAGATCCGATTCCATGGTTTCGCAAGTTCGAGCTCACGCTGCAGCTCCACAACGTCAAGGAACTCAAGCACCAAGCATACTTGTACTCTCGCTCAGGGGGCGGGTGTCAGGCTTGGTTGGACAACCTGTTGTCCAAGTACGGAGTGGTAGCCAACGACTTGCACACCAAGATCAGTTGGGATGATTTGAAGGCGGCGTGGCACAAGCGGTTCCAGGTGGAGCCGTCGGAGATCAAAGCCATGGACAAGCTCATGGTCTTCGAGCAAGGYACGCTGCCGAGTACGGACTGGATCGCCGAGTACCAACGCTTGACGTCAGTCCCAGACATCCAGATGGGCTTCAAGGCCATCCGCCATTACTTCATCTCAAGGTCATGTCCGACATTAAGCAATGCCCTGACTCATGTCGAGGACACCTTGACGACGACGGCGGAGTTGTTCGACAAGGCTGCGCAGATCATTATCACGAACAAGGAGGCCAAGAACCTCCGTTCATCTGTGTCACGCCCGAGCAGGGACCAGCATCGGCCAAGAGTGGCCGTGGTCGCAACGGCAGCGCCGTTGGACCAAACCAGTGAGGCTGTGTCTGCCAGTGAAGGGGACAGATTCGCAGCCGCCCGGGAAGGTGGCCGCCCCGGCAGAGGCCGAGGATGCGGCAAGACGAAGACACACCGCATCTAGCCCCGGGCCCGGTGCAACAGCTCAGACAGGCCCATGGACCGAGAATGGCATCTCCGAGCAAGCCTTCAAGGCGCGCGAGAGATTCCACTATTGCCTTTGGTGCAACAACGATCTTCATCAGACGCAGGGTTGCCCATTGAAAGGCAAGGGCAGACAGGAAAACTGAGCACCGTCGAGAGTGACTCGACGACACTCTCGACGCCTTCGGAACCGGTTTCTTCGCGAGTAACCGGCCTTCATTCTGAGGCGCACGCGGAAGTCGATAGTCCCCCTCTTCTACTTTCTTTTGAGGACTATGCTGCCTGGCTCGTTCCTACGCTGGGTACTCAAGCTCAAGGACAAGGAGTGTGTGCGGTTTCTTCTCCATCCGACAACGGCAACATATCGTCTTCAAGTGGTTCTTCACGGGATTCGGCACGCGAGTTCAACATAGAGGCATTGGACCCGCTCACGTCTGAGGACTTTGCATGGCTTCCTCTTCCGACCACAGGCCGCTTGCCGGGACCGCAATGCACAGCACTTAGCGCTCATCTCCACACTTACCTTTCCTTCTATGCACCACCAACTTCGCCGACGGATGACGAAGTCGCGGTGGGGGACATCTTGGCATATACTACCAAGGTGGCCCGCGAGTTTCGCACGCAGCGGTACGATGACAACAACGCACCGCTCGTGTATGTCCGCATTCAGGTTGGGCAAGCGTCCTGCAGCGCTTTGCTGGAGAGCGGCGCGTCTCGCAACTTCATGAGCCAGTCCTTTATGCAAATGGTTGGCCTTGGCGCACAAGTTCGGAGGAAGGCAAACCCGACAGCGATCAAGTTGGCGGATGGAAAGACACAACAACTCCTCGACCGTTACATCGAGGCCGTACTGGTCTACTTCGCACCTCATGCATGCGAACCGGTAACATTCGATATTCTCGATACGGACTTCGACATCATTCTGGGAATTCCTTGGCTTGCAAGTGCGGATCACACGATCAACTTCCACCGGCGGACTCTTAGCGTCCGCAACGCCTTCGGCGCGAAAGTGGCGTGTACTATTCCTCTACCGCACCCTTCGATCCGGTGCCAAGTGGTGACGGCCAAATCATTCCGGGCGACTTGCGCTTACGAGCAGCCCGAGGAGATTGACCTATGTTTTCTACGGACCGTCACGGTAGCCGACTCTTCACCCACAGACTTGTCTTCGGACCCCCGTGTGGTACGGTTGCTGGACGAGTTCGCCAATATCTTCGAGTCTCCTACCGGTGTGGTGCCGGATCGGCCGATCTCTCACGAGATCATTCTTGAGGCCGGTGCTGTGCCGCCGAAAGGTTGCATCTATCGGATGAGCGAGGAGGAACTTGAGGTCCTCCGTGCACAACTCGACGATTTGTTGGCCAAGGGCTGGATCCGCCCGAGTAGCTCCCCATATGGAGCACCAGTTCTCTTCGTCGGGAAGAAGAACAAGGATCTACGATTGTGCGTCGACTTCCGCAAGCTCAACGCGCAAACCGTAAAGAATGCAGGGCCTCTTCCTCGCATCGACGATCTTGTCGAGCGGCTGGGCAGTGCCAAGTATTTTTCCAAGTTGGATTTGAAATCAGTATATCATCAAATCTCGATTCAGCCGAATGATCGCTATAAAACCGCATTCAAGACGCGGTACGGGCATTTTGAGTGGGTGGTCATGCCTTTTGGCCTCACCAACGCCCCGACGACATTCCAGGCGGCGATGACCAATGAGTTCCGTGCAATGTTGGACCGGTTCGTGCTGGTCTACTCAGACGATATTCTCGTCTACAGCCGG